TCTAATCTTACTGGGCAGAAGACATAATAACATGTCATTACAGTAGTTGTTTATCGTGTTATGCAAAGGCTCTGAGGCATTTCAGATCTCATCCTACTTTTTTGGGATTTTAGAAGAAAAGCAAAACTTGGAGAAGCCCTTAAAGTAAACCGTGAAGCGGGGAAAACACACCATCATGAGACCAGTGATTGACACTTGTAAAGCAAATTTGTCGTACTTGGCTAATTTACTCTACAATTACGGAATCTGCCGGCGTGGAATCGAGCTAGAAATAATAGGGGTTCGCTGGAGACAATGACTTGATCCGCGGCCAAATGAATTTCCATCTCACTCGAATACAAGTGCTAGAAACAGAATACGTTCTGCTGTGGGAAAAAAATTTGCAAAATAGATCCTCCCATCAAAATTCTCTCCTTACAGCTCCTTTCCTCTTCCCATCCTGACTTAGAAAATAGTGCCGTTGAGTGAGAACGAATTGGGCGAGGGTTGGGATATGAAGCGCAGCGAAACGGGTGCCGAGGAAATGCAAACAGCTGGAAGCATTTTCACAAAGGCAGTATCGACTCCAGCGACTAAATATCGCTGCTGGGATCCCTGACGTCGCTCCTTGCTAGTTAGTTTCCAATGAGTGCTCTTCCAGCTTCGCGTTAGCCGTGACGATTTAAGACATCGTCCTCCACATTCCGGAATACCGGGAGCTCATTATTGCTCTGAGGGAGAGAGGACGAGAATTCCAGACACGATGAATACGGTCAGCGCAGTTTTTTTTTCAGTGACAGGATCACGCAGGTTCCTTTTCTGTCTTTATAAGTCACGATAAAACCGACAGGAAGGTATGCTGAACTGTAGATTCATACAGACTCCGATTGGTCATCTTTTTCAGACTTTCTGATGGTAAACGTCAAAGCTGATGCAAAACTAGACATCCAATGGCACAATCATGTTCGACAGTTCCAATGGATGTGCTACGTGATCTAAACTTGGGGTAGGAACATGTAATATGTAGAAGTATGAAGAGCGCATTCACTTTCGCGATTCGATCTCTAGGAACGCGCGATTTGATTGCTCGAGAATTGCAAAGTATGAACGCGTTCACAACTTGACGAAAAGATTCGACGATTTCATGAATACGACATTGAAGCATTCGTGTGGTTTCAGGCTTATCAGATATAATCGTCTACGAACAATCGCGTACGATAATCGTTTGGATTCCCTTCGTATTCTGCACAAGCATCCTATACAGAATGTCACCACTCCCATCTCTTGTATGGATATCGACCAGGTCGAGAACGCTTTGTGAGTTCGTTGTTTTCCATACTAATGTGATTTCTTTTCCTAACATTATAGACATTAAACTATGGGTATCGAAGCAGAAATCGCGAGTAAATTGTTTGAAGGAGCAGATGGTTTCAAAAGTTCACTGATAAGAAGTCATGGGACTCAGACGTAAACAAGTACTGTGGTTACCGCATATTTTGAAGAAGTAAAAGTGAAATGCACAGAAAGCACAGCTCAGGATACTGACTTTTAGGATATTTGGTTTTTGTAAATAACCACTTGGACATTTCTGCTGTGTATGACATCAAGATCGCAGTTACATATAGGAGTGGCCAACTCACTGTTGAGCAGCAGACACCACTGAAAAACATCCAACCACAAGAGCCTATACGTTAGCGAAATGAAAAAACCGTAAACTGATCTTTGACGCAGCATCCCTAAAACACATTTTTGTAGCAGCAAAGAAAAAGGATAACGTTGCGTGTCAAAAGAGCACAGAGTTGCATCATCATGGAGCCAAGATTGGATCCTATTGAAGCTCGAAATTATAGCAGAGTCCTTCTTACTCTGGTTCCTATCATGATAATTAGCTTGATGAAGGAAAAAAAAGCGTTTTGTTCTCATCTTTGGACAGAGATAGCTTGTTCAGCATGTGTTATTTGGGTGAAGTTTAACCACAGGAATGGAGACGGAGGTGGGTGGTGTAGTAGCAACTGCTACGCTTACCACGCGCGAGGTCCGGGAATCGAATACCGAATCGACCTCTGCCCAGGTCAGTCAAGGCTCCTACCCTCCGAGAATGGTGAATCTATACCAGATTTGCCTGTGGAGATTAGGAACACTTGCTTATACAAACGACCAGCCCGAGTCCGCTGCGGAAAAAAAAACACGAAACAAGCAAAAAAAGGAATTGTCTATCAAAGTGTTTTTCGATTTTCCTTGACTTGTTTACCAAATACGTGAATATAATGAAAGTATGCCTGGAAGAACGTTTGCAGATCGGTGAAAACGACTCTAAGCGAACACGAAAATGTGTGAGATCTAGATTTCGGCACCCATGATGAGCATCAGAATGAAAAAATGAGAGAGTGAAGGCTTTCACCTCAACCCCATGGTGAATCTGTAGGATGAAATGAAGCATGATTCCTAGGGAAGAAGATCACCAACGCGAGTGACAGTTCCATGCATTTTAGGAAAGTTGGAGTTGAATATCCGTAGATACTGTAGATACGCCTAAAGCTCCTGTGGAGTCGAATCCACGGATGACGAAGGCTCCATCAAGTCCAGTAGTGAGCCAACTCAGTTCAGCGCTGATAGTTCTTTCTTGTTGAATGCTCATCATAGTATTGTTTTCAAAAGAAACTCAAAAGGCACTGTTACCAGACATTCAGATAAAATGAGACTGCTTGACTGCACAGTACCCTGATTGCTGGTTAGGTAAAAGTGAAGAGTGACAGGGAAAATAACTGCGTTCCAATGAGTAGTGATAAAAGATCAACTGTGAATCTATGTTAAATAATAACCATAGCATTTTCAGCCTTCTCTGTGGAGGAATATCAGGGAAACTGTACTTGTCCAACCTTTACTTCAGCGATTTCTATGGTCCGGTTGCCAAGGAGGATTTCACGATGCCATCAACGTTGTTAGTTAATGTTTTTAGTACTGTTGAATAGCTTATCCGCTCAAAATAAATAGGGATGTAAACCACTATTCCAGTCGACACAAACATTTCGTGACTGGTTGCCAGTGGTATCATGACATTCGTCTCTTTGTCTCTGTCAGCTCCGGTGGAGACCTGACGGTTGGGTTTTTTCTTTTCTTGTTGTAATATACAAATGTTCTTACAAAATAGCAGTGGTGTAATCGATGGGGGTTTTGTCATTTAGGCTTGGGATCTCACCAATCTGAGTGAGCTGGAGACATACAGAGTCTGTGAAAATGGGAAGTGGAGACCACAGCTTCACTGGAATGAGGTTGATAGAACTAATCCACTCATAGCCGTTACAAACGGATCAAATCAGATACCTCTGTATGATTTGAGGTAATTAAAGAGCTCAAAAATCGAAATTTGAATTTCATACGAGCTCTATATGTCTCATCAACTTGCTTTAGAGTAGGAGATTTGGCTCAAGCAGTGCGAAGTAAAGATACCAGTGTCGTGAGAGCGGTACGCTGGTTGCCTCATAAACATCACATTCTGTTTTCTGGAAACGAGAATGGTGTTGTTGCGGTGTGGGATACTAGGTGAAAACTTATTTCTTTTTTTTCGGCGCATGTATGAATTTTAGAATCAGAAGGTTTTTGGTTTTCTCAATAAGCAAAGCCTACGGACAACTGGTAAGTCCAGAGTGTACCATTGCAGAAGCAATCGAACTGCTCTTCTACGGAAAAATATAACCGAAGGCAATTGTATCCGAGCCATGCGTCTCACATCCGATGGAGCTCATGTGGTGATGGTTCTATATACTGGCATTATTTTGCTGTATGACGCTGTCACAATGGAACGCTTAGGCACGTATGAGGTAAGTCGCATTTCAGCTTTTCGTAAATATTATTGTAAATCAGAGGCACGAAAGTAGTGGGCTTGACTTCGAATACGGTTGAGTTCACTCCTGTTCAGTACCGATGTTGGGCCGCGCAGGGCGGCTTTATTTGGCGCAGCGCCAGCTTGTTTTCAACTGATTGTTGTTGCTTGCTCGTCTCAATAATTGGTGGAGAACAGGTCGATGTGACGCCAAATCCAACCTTCTTGACACGCCCCGGCATGCACAGCGAATAAGATTGTATACGCCACTCCCTCGCTTAGACGGCGCAGATAGGCGGACACGACGCAACAGCCGTGGCGTCCCTCTCCCTCACTTCTATAATTATTGCCTCTAAAAATTAATTTATTAGTAGATGCGTACGGTCGTGGAATCTCAGAGTTTTTCTGAGGTAAGAATACTTGCTTCAGTTACGCGATCGTCGAAAGTGGAGTGAAAAAATGTCGAACGCCCTCGATCATTTCGCAGTAAGTGATGAAGGCTCTGCTATCAGAGTGGCTCTACCTATAGGCGAAGACATAGTTTGGATTCGTTTCTCAAAGGTACGTTCCTTTATTTTCCTTTTGATATCACCATGAGTATTTCGATGTATAGGGCTTTCGTGAGGAATCCCGCGTTTTTCACTGTTCCACTCTATCTGGTCATTTGTCACGTGTTAATGCTTGCGTCTACAGAAAGGGCTCTCAGCAAGTGGGTACCTTTTTTGGAATTTTAGGCTGTGCATTGAAGATGAGTTTTTTGCAATTTTTCAGCTATATTCTGCGGGGGCTGATCGTAATGTACTCTGCTGGGCTCCAGAAAGTGAAAGGAATCGTCTTCATCTGGAAGCTGAGACAGCTAAAGCAACTGCCCTGTCGAGCGATTGGAGTGATGACGATTGATTCCGGAAGAGCCGCAGCTCGTGTTGGGATTTTCCGTCGGGATACGTTTCACCGGACGATGTGATGCTATCACTGGAATCAGACGAATGATAGAACAACAGTGAACTGGAGGAGCTCTCGTGAGCAGCAGAGCTCAATGTACACTGACGATCTTTTCATAAGTGGTACTAACTTTTACATCTAGCATCTTGTGCGTTTTAATAATGATACTTGCGCTATTGTAAGGCTCCTAACTTGTGGGTGTATAACATTGCGGGGAATCATGCACGTTCACCCTGGGAAAGAATCCGTTGGGCTACGAAGTACCAAATTAGTGAATACTTAAGTGTTCAGTGACCAGTGATATTCGGCAGCAGGCGAATTGTACCCTCGTTGGAGTGACTGGCACGTATCTGATCTCAGAGCATTTGTATCTTTTGGCATTCTAAGCACTTGTACTTTGGTTCGCTGCAGATGAAGAGGCGTGTCAGGTACAGTACGCCACGGCGCTACTCATTCCCTGCCAGTTGTTGGAGCGGGTATGCGACAACAGTTGATAGAAAACGAGTGATACGAGCGACATGATACAGTCTTGTTACTGGCTGGTTACAACAACTAGTCGAGAATGAGTTTGGAACTGCGCCATACTCATCCCGCATGACACCCCCTTTCGTCCGGAGCGAACTAGTGCATACGTTTTTACGAAAACTTGATCATTTGCGGTTATGTGTGTTAGAGCTTGCTCGTGGAGTATTTCTAGTTGGTTTCCAAAGAACTAATCGGGTATAATCGGGTCTAGCTATGGCCCTGCTCACCTTCTTAACTACCCTTTTGTAGTCAACATCTCAGAGGTTATGCCTATCTGTAACCTGCCATGTATCGTCAATCGCTTGCATATCGTTTTAAATTATAATACTAACTTCAGAGAATTTCCTAACGTGCTTCTCTCGTGCGTGTTCGGCCGCGTTTATACTTTCATACGTTCGTACGACAGCGGCGATTCCTATATCGTACGACTGGAGCGCTCCGGCACCACTCCTTGGCCCACAAGCTGCACAATAACATCCTTTATCTGTGTTTTTTCACCGAGCAAGTGCCAACTGGTTTTAGCCTAATAAACAGCGGAGCGATGTCAGTCGCAGTCGCACGATCCCTAAAACGATAGTCGTTGTGTACGAACCCAGCCTTCCGTTCATCTCTCTTACTATGTGGCATTGTTAAATCAAACCAGAGCTCATCATACGTTGTCTCAAGTACAACAGAGGCTAGCATTTGGATGCTGGTACAGAGGGGTCCTACTTTGTGTTGGAAGAATGGTCGTTGAGTTTTTCCATTTCATGGGCGCTGCATAGTAGGTTCACCTTGATTTCCAGAGCTGGGGTAAGGATACCATTTTTCTGTTCACATAGAGACTAACCAGCTCCCTCCACCCTCCAGCTCTAAGATTGGGGAATGGTTGGTAAGATGATAAAGGCTTTTCACGAAAAAAAATACCAGCAAACGTGATGAACGGGCCTTGCAGGGCACCTCTTTCCTGAACGCCCCTTTTTGGTTTGGCCGTTTTTGATTTGTTCTTGTTGTTAATCAAGAGTTTTGTAATATGTTAATCAAGAGTTTTGTAATAAAGTGTAAAGTGCTATCCTTTACCTCCAATACTGTGGAAAGTTCGACATAACAAAATAAGCATTCGACGCATTAGAATCCATGTTATAGCGGAACTAGTCCTCGCAAGGAAATTAATGAGCCTGGCCACAAACGGCACAATAACATCCTTTTTCCTGTGTTTTTGCAACGAGCAGCAGTGCCAATGGTCTATAACAGCGGAGCGATATCCAGTCGCCAGCGCACGATAAAACGCATAGTTGTCTGTGTACGAACCCAGCCTTCCGTTCATCTCTCTTACTATGTGGCATTGTTAAATCAAACCAGAGCTCATCATACGTTGTCTCAAGTACAACAGAGGCTAGCATATTGAATGCTAGTACAAGGGGCCCTACTTTGTTGTTGGGAAGAACCTGTCGTGAGTTTTCCATTTCATGGTGATTGCCCATAGTAAATTCACCTGATTTTTCCAAGCTGCGGGGTGATAGTTTCACACATTTTCTGTTCACATAGAGACTAACCAGCTCCCTCACCCTCCAGCTCTAAGACTGGGGAATGGTTGGTAAGATGATAAAGGCTTTTCACGAAAAAAAAACTGCACAACGTGATGACGGGCCTTGCAGGCACCTCTTCCTGACCACCTCTTGGTTGCTCTTTGATTGGTTGTTCTTATGTTCGTTAATCAAGAGTTCTGCTTATAAAGTGTCACATGATGCTGATACCTTTACTTCCAATACCGTGGAAAGCGACATTAAAAGGACGTATTAGAATTCATGCTTCATACGACACTATCCTGCTACATATAATCCGCCATGTCCGTGTGTGTGCGTGTGTGTGTCTGTCTGTCTGTGTGTCACGAAATTCATAGCGCCGGTCCCAGCAGCGTCTCCTTAGCAGTGAGACATTGATTTCAAGAAGTGATGTAGGCGGTGTGACGGGAACACTATTGGTGGGTGACAGAAAGTGATATCAGTTGATAAGATACGATAGAGGCCTTAGAAGGGGAGGGTGACCGAATTCGTAGCGCATGTTGCAGCAGCTGCGGGACCGTGATTTCAAGAAGTAATATGCGCGGCAGGAACGCCGAAACATATTTGGTGGGTGGACAGGATGTGATATCAACCTTGGTAAGATTCGATCAGGCGGCCTCAGAAAGGGAGGGTGACCCGAATGTCATACGCAAGTTGCAGTAGCAAGCGGAAACCTTTGGTTCACGGCAAGTGATATGCGCAATGGGGGCAGGAGCTGATCACGAAGATGGTTTGTTTTGGGGATTCTAGACCCTTGGTGCACCAAATTCTCTAGGCGCAGCTTGACAATGAACCGTGGGACCGTGATTAACAATAACGTGTATGTGTAAGGAAGTGGACAGTGATCGGTGTGTGACAGGAAGTTAACGAAATCTTGATAACAGATTCGATTAAGGGGCCTTAGATGCAAGTCACCCAGTTTCCTAACATACGGCTGCATGTGAATTGGAGACGCAGTACGACGGGGTGGGTGACAAATCTAATAACATATGATAAGATTTGATAAGGGACCTTAGATGCGGAGGGCCACCAAATTCGTAGGGCAGGTTGCAGGGTCTGTGGGACCTTGGCTCCAAGAAGTGGTATAGGGGAGGGGCGGACACCCACTGACGGGTGAGACGAAGTGACTGATAAGAAATGAAAACCTCATCATGCGGAAATCCGCAACACCGCTTACATCCACTATGCGATTGATATGATCCAGGTATCAGGCTCCCAGTAGTTCGCACACAACTCACTCCTGGGCTTTATCGTTATTGACATCATGTACGGCCGCTAAAGCAACTGGAGTTCAGAAGCATGGCGGTTGTTTACTCAGTTGGCATGAACTGCAGCAACTGGCTTTATCACTATTATGACTTCATTTCATCAACAATTCCTGAAGAGGCCGATTCGCAAGCCTAAAACTGCCGGAATGCGGGCGCGTGCATTCAGAAACAAAAAACCTGCAGTAGTGGAGAACGCATCAAGAGGTAGGATGCTTCAAAGGCTGCTCTAACAGGTTGCTGAATTTTCGTGTGAGGGTTATGGAGATTTTTGGTACTAACTCCGAGAAAAGAGTGGACCAAAGGATAGATTTCAGCGCTACACTGGGACAACGGTTACAATCCTACCCATATATAATCGGCTATGTCCGTGCGTGTGCGTCTAACTCTTTGACACGAATTTATAGCGCCGGTTCAACTTCAACTTCGACTCGCTGATCCAACTTTAACCCATTGCTCGAGCTATTTTCAACTATTTTTCTACATTTTGCTGGAAAATGAACGGAAAATGAATGAATGTGACGGTTTGGCGTATTTTGCACACTCTACCTCGCCTAAAGAAAAAGTGCCTGGCCAAGCCAGGCGGCCAGGCGAAGGCCGGTGATAACAGTGGGAGGGGAGATTCACCCGGCGGCAGCCGGGTGATCCGACTGGTTTTGTTATAAAGTGTAAAGTGCTATCCTTTACTTTCAATACCGTGGAAAGTTCGACATAAAAGAAATAAGCATTCGACATAAAGAAATAAGCATTCGACGCATTAGAATTCATGTTATACGGAACTAGTCCTCCAAGAAAATTATGGCGCAGGAGAGGGATACACTCCTCATCCCGGAGACGGAGTAGGCGTGTCATTTGGACGTGGCATAGTATGGATTTCTCGTGGAATGTTTCAACTTGGGACAACAGTCTTCTTGTTCTGTGTTGGACAGAGAAATGATTACCACTGTCCCAAAATCAAACATCTCACGAAGAGCTAGCAGCCGCCACGTCCAATCTAAATGCGGAGCCATCACAAGAATGCTGAGTTGTGGCCAGAAGTCGGACTACGGACGGGATTCGAACCAGCATCTTCTGCACAAATAAATAAATAATGAATACGGAGCCATGCCTACTGCATATCAGGGATGATAAGTGGTACTTATGGTACCGGAGAAAAGCTGTACAACCCTATTAGGTTCACCTGGGCCATCTGACTTGCTAGTATCCCGCTCTTCAGAATTCAATCCAGTTTTGAACGATTTTCTCCCGAAGCCAGTTCCCACTAAAATTGTCTGGGTGGATGCAAATTGACACCATTACTACGAATATACCACCCGCTTCAAACCACTGGATACGGATACGGAACACGGCTATCATACCACATGGCGTGAGCGTCTAATACGCTGCAGGGGCGCCGGCGTCAAACTGGGTTCTATCTCCTGCTGCGCTCCTGCGCTTTTTCTTCAGGCCTATTCGAAATTCGTATCAAAGGGTTAAACTACCCAACAACACAATCTGACCAAGATGTGGCTTGATTCCCGGAGGGAGCAGTAAAGCGGTAAATGAAGCCGAATGACACTATTCAAAGGACAGACTGAGAATCTTCGTTGTACTCAGCATATGGGGGACGCAAGTGACATTACAA